AGTGTAGGGTGTAGAAGGTGTGTTTAAAGCCAGTAATATATCAGGTTTCAGTGTAATAATACATTCTCAATCCTCCTGAAATAAGCTGGACCCCACTCTGACAAGACTTTTAAATCCTGTAAGTGTCAGAAGATTAAGCCTGACACTTTTGGAAGCCTGACATAAGATAACTTTCAGCTAACCCTCTATTTTTAGAATTAGATGTTACAGTACTGATTGACAACTTAGCTACTAAAACTGAAGTCTGGCACAAATCTCTCTTTTCACAAGGACTGAGCTTTATTTGTTGGCACATCAGCCACAGGGGCCTACTCAGTTCTTCTGCAGAGGACTTTTGACAGATCTTACATTAAATATAAAACAGTTCTATACATCCTCAGGGCTTAGCAGCACAGGGCTAAAGAGTTACCAGTTTTTTGCACTACAACAGATTTGGTAGACCGGTCTACCAGCAGAATAGGTCCATGCAACTTCCTCAGGTAAAAGAGAAGGAAATTATATGTTATTTACAATTATTTTCTCCTTTCTTTAAGGCCACAGATGTACCATATTTCTCTGGCTTGAGGGTCAGCACTAAACACTGTACAGCTACATAAGTTCTTAAAAAAAACAACCACCTTCAAACAAGAACAATGAATTCCAGGTACTTGAAATAGTAAAGAAATTATTTCAGATCAAGAAATAAGGTCCACATTTTGTTCACTGAAGGACAAAATGAACAAACATAGCTGAAACTACACTGCCCAGAAACGGAGCTCTAAAACTTCTGTGATGGAAGCATATTGTGCTGTCTCAATAAACAAGGCTTTCCAGGTGTTTTGTTAGGGAGTAAGCACTGATCACTTCACATGGCAGCACTGACTTACCCATTTTAGCTACTCCTCCACTACTTCCCTCCCTTTGAAGGACATTAGCCCATTAGGGAAGCTAGTAAAAAAAAAAGTTTTGCAAGTTCTGCAAGATCTAAACAACATTCAATTTTTGTAGTATTACTTAGGGACATTCAAGATCTAGCTAGATGAGGCTCTGAATAGCTTGATCCAGCTGGAGATGTCCCTGCTTATGTAGGGGGGTTGAACTAGATGACCTTTGGAGGTCCCTTCCAGCCCAGACATTCTATGATTCTGTGATATTTAAAATATTTTGTTGAATTGGCAAAAACAGCTCATCACTTAGATACTGACTGTCTGACAGATCCTAGAGCAAACCCTGAAGCATGGATAACAACTGCTGTAGTCGCTCAGTTACTTGTTACCCACTTGGGCCCTTTTTCCTATACCATGAGCTTTTGCCTTGAAAGAAAGTTATTTTTTCTGTTATCATGAGAAGCAAGTATTTATGTGGCCATTTCATGCCCAATCTTCATAGGAAAGCATAAAACATAGAAGTGTAAAGCAACAGCTTAAAGAACACATCTGTGAAGTGACCACTAATAACATCACTTCACAGTCATTCCAGCATCATTTCCAGTGTCATACACTGAAGACAACAAAAAAAGGTGTTTCTGAAAAAGCAAAGTGACCAAAACTTCATCCCAGAAGAAAAGATTCTTAGTATACTGGAGAGTAAAAATTGTAGATAGGCAGGGAAGATTAGACCCAAAGTTAGTAAAGGAAACAAATGTATTTACCTCCTGGAACGCCTTCTGCAGTAACAGCAGTAACAGCAACAGACTGCTATGGACAGCAGAATGAGTCCGGCTAATACAGCTATGGCAATAATTAAAGCTTCAAAGTTTACTGAAAAATATTAATATATTCAACTTGTTAGACTCCAGCATTAACATTTGTCTGATAATTATTCCCCTCTCCCAAGCATTTTTTCGTCTCTGAAATTTATTTATTTTATGCAAATAAATAAAACCCACAATACTGTGTAACTACTCCAGTTAAAACTCAGCATATTACATTCAAATTTTGTTACTATGTATAATATAGGTGGGACAAGACATTAAGTGAAATTACTGTTTACATATACTAAATTGTTAAGCCATTCTGTAATACTTGTATGACATACAGGTTCCAGAATGACCCTATAGCAACACTCCAGTACATAAAGAGGGCCAGCAGGAAAGATGAAAAGGGATTCTCTGTCAGGGGATGTTACAAAGAGTAAGAAGAGGGTAGATTTAGATTATATATTAGGAAGAAATTCCATACTGTGAGGGTGGGGAGACACTAGAACGGGTCACCCAGAGAATCTGTGGATGTCCCATCAAGGCCAGCTTGGATGGGGCTTTGAGCAACCTGGTCTAGTGGGATATGTCCCCGCCCATGGCAGAGGGGTAGGAACTAGACGGTATTTCAGGTCCCTTCCAACCCCAACCTTTCTATCATTCTATGATACATATCTACTGCTGTGACTCCACAGTTCTGTCATCCCAGTCATGACCTTAGACAATGTACAGTGTGAACAAAAAAGTCATGTAGATGCAGCAGCCGTGTACACACATTACATGCAGCACTTAGAGCAAAGGGCATAAGGTGACATCAGAGGATTTGTAGGAGCCAATATAAAACTCACCATGAAGCTTCCTAAGTCATCTGCTATGTCCAAAGAGTAATTAACCAATGGAGGGGGTTATTATTTTAACAGCAGACGCCAACAACTGTAGATGGTGTAAATTAGGACAGGGCTACATTCATTAAAACAAAAAAGTCAGAAACCTAACATCCTAGAAAAGAGTGAGGCCCAAGAAGAAAGCCAGCAGGGATGGTATCAGCAAAGCTATACACAGAACTTTAAGGAGTTATTTAAAGGAGCAGAGGACAAAGTTAATAATTCAGGGAAGCTGTTACAACAGAGATAAAAACTAAACACCTCTCCCCACACAGTCTGTGTTGATGTATGACAAGGGAAGGAGGCAGGGAAGCTCCCTTCTCCCACATAAAACCCTCTGAACTCTGCCAGATTCAGCGGCCTCATGATGCTGTAGTAATACAAAGTAGCTGCACACGCATTTTTTACAGCTTCAGGGTACCAATGACAGTCAAATTCAGCAGGTGAAGTTCAGAGTCTGTCCTCCTCTGATCACGTGCACAAGCCAGAGTTTGTTACTTCGCTACAGATCTCACTAGCTCATGTCTGGTCAAGGCATGTCCTTCACAGATCTTCCCAAAGATTAGATCCCAGCAAATATTCTTGCTTCTATGTTATAATTTACTGGCTACAGTTTATAGAACAGATTAATACATAGCTCCCAGTTACAATACACAAATAAATATAGTGTAAATTCCGAAATTAACACATTTCACCATACAACATCTCATTCTGTTACTTGCCCACAAGTTACAGGCAATTAAATGTATTTCATACACTGAAGTAAAGTTAAAGGTTTTAATCTCCATTTTTTTAAAACTACACTATGTAATTGAAGCAAAAAATATATTTTGAACCTATTAACAAAGTGCAGAAAAAGCCTGTCAGTTTTCAGTCTGCATTCCTGTTTCTACTATTGTTCACTTGCTTATTATGCATGAGAAAAAAAATACAGTTAGGCTACTTTGTACTGCATTCCTTCTTCACTGTTGGGGTTTTCTTTTTTCTCTGCTAGTTAATAATCTGTCGGCATATCTTATCCATATAAATTTCTAACTGGAAGTAGTCATGTGTGTTTGACTTCCTGAGAACTGCAATATCTACCTTCATTTTCAGTAACACTGAGCCAAAACTCACCTCTTCATTTTATTTGCAAAAAGAAAAAAACATTGTCACTACCATGCTCACAAGGTAATTAGTCTTCCTGCTGTGCCCAAAGGGGACAGTATCAATAAGGCTACATATCCCCGTATCATACTACTATATATAATTCGTAAAAATAAATATTAAAGAAATGCATATCTGGGTTTTTTTTGTTGTTTTAAGATTGAATTTTTTTTCTACTTTTAATTTTCTTTTTTCTGAGAATGTGCTCCACTACAAAGTTTTCATTCCATGTTTAATAGTGCTGATAACACACCAATGTTTTGGCTGTTGCTGAACAGACTTGAGGAGCATCAAGATTTTCACTTTCCTCCTCTTGCCTCCTTCCCCTTCACTCTCTTCCCTCTAGTGAGTAGGGCTGGAGGTAGGCAAGGGGCTGGAGAGGTCACAAGGGGACACTGCTGGAAGAGCTGACGCAAACTGGCCAAAGGGATATTCCACAGCCTATAATGCTGTGATCAGCAATAAAACCTGAGGTAAAAATAAAAAGTGGAGTGGGTATCTTGCTTCCAAGGTGACTATTGTCTGGGGACTGGCTGGGCATCAGTCTACCTGTGGGAGGTGCTAAGCAATTTCCTTTGCTTGTTTTTTTCTCCCCACTCTTTTTTCTTCACATATTACATTGTATTTGTCTCAATCCACAAGTTCTTTTGCTTTTTTTTTCCTCCACATCTCTCTAGGGCCAGGGGAGGGAGGGAGGAAGCAGCTGTGTGGGTACTTGTGTTGGCAGGAGTCAACCCACCATATTTCCAGTAAAAAGTTTGGTAAAAATTTCATAGTAGCAGCATTTACAACAATATTGAAAGCCCAATTTCCTTAGAAGTGTGCCTTATCAGTGAAACAATAGATCTTCTGCAGCTCTAAAAAACTCTAGAAGTCTAAGCATAAATTCTTTGTCTCACAAGACAAAGTGCAGAGCCCTTCTGCTAAAAGCAAAGAACTAGTAAATTTCTCCTGTGCTGGATCCCAGTCTAGACTTCACTACTTAGTAAATATATTAAAGCCACTGGATGAGCATAATTATATTGCCTGTTCAAAAACAACCCTTAACAATGACTGTAAGTCCAGAATATTAGTGACTATGGTCATAATAATTACTGCTTCTGCCCTCCACCCCCCAAATAAATTATTAGAAAACAGCTCTAGTAAGTGACAGTCTTACTTCAATCATACTCATAAGTAATTTTCCACAGCAAAAGTAAAACTAGTACCTACTCCAGCAAGCTCCCCATCGCGCATTCGAGAGGGCACATAATGAAGATGGTGGAAGAATGGTTCTTACAGGGTAATCAACACAAGTGTTGTTGGTGTAACACCAGAGGCACTGTGCAAAAGAAACAAAAAAAAACCCAATTATTGATCTTTAACAACAGTTTACAATTTAATACTCCTTTCCACAGACATAATTCTTGAGTGAATACAACACTGTACAGATATAATGAAAGTACTTTCTAGTACAAAACCTACAGAAGTCCTGGTACAAACCCCAAGTAAACCTAATCTGAAGTGTGAATAAGTACATTTTGTACTTATAGGTATTTACACTAGCCCAAAAATATTTGGGAACATACTGAGGTACACTGTACACTTGAAGATAAAATGGCTTTGGGTTTAGAATTACTGAAATTAACAAAAAATTCAATATCAGAAAGCTAGCTGTGCATAATTTGAAAATACCTGGTATCTGTAAGGAATATAAACACACTTATCTTACTTCAGCCCTATATTTGACTATCAACAGAAAGAAAAGAATAATAAAGAACCCTTACAATTCTACAGGAGGTTTTTCTGTAAGGTAGTAAAAGATACAGCCTTATCCAATCTGTGTTCCAAAGTACACTGGGTACCTTATCTGTGCACACAACATGTGGATATATCTAAAATGTAAAATTTCTTACATGCGTTATAGTTACAATACCAGCAACAAATACCAATTTTTTTTAGACAAATACCATTTCTGCTTTTTATGCCACCACTAAGCATCAAGCATAAGTACCGTTTTTCATCTGTTAAAATAAATATTCATGTAAAATTCCTTTACCACACAACTCAACCAGTGAAGAAGGTTTGGATGACAGGAAAAGGAATCCTTTACAGAACAGGGTTTCTTAAGGATTCATTATAGAAAGAGTTCATTCAGGAACTAGGCTTTATCTAACAATCCATCTCTCTCATACATCCGCAATTGCACAAAGTCTGTTATCTTGCTCTAAAGGGTTAGAAAATGTTAAATACAAAGGAAACCATTTGTAGCGGATTCTGCCTTCTTGAAGAAAGTGAAGAAAAAAAAGTATTAATATTTTGTAGATGGTAGACTGTACAAGCTACACATGCCCATAAAGACACATCACCAAAAATAATTAAGAAGGTAGAATAAACTTTGAAAAAAATCTATCCTCCTAAGTTTTAATTTTAATCAAGGATGTTAGATGAGAACATGCTTGTTTTTTGTCAGATCAATTATTTAATAAGAATTAACAGTTCAGAAATAATGACTGAAAGTCATTGTTAAACTTTGAAGGTAATGTGGACCCCGTTTTGAGCAGGGAGCTGGACTAGGTGACTCAGGACTCACTCTAACCTAAACGACTCTGTAGCTTTGGTGACAAGTAGGAGCACAGAGAAGCCAGCTGTATCGCTCTGATAGAGACCACAGCATGCAACTGTTAAAAATGTGTGTAGCCCAAACCTGATACAGCTACGGGTTGGTACAGAGACTGAAGAAACTATTTCAGCTGAGTCATTCCCAGTGCTAAAAATTGAGCTAATTGTCAAAATTAAGTTAGTTAAAAAAAAAAAAAAGCCTAAACACCTGAAGGTGAAGTATTTCCTTCATTTTGATCCTTATCTACATAACCTAAAAATGAAGGCTGAAGAGGTTTTATTTATACTTTGCAGAGTACACCAGAAACTGCGTTCACACTCTGATGGATGTCACTGACTTTATTTTAGTAGTCTCACGTGTATAGTGAAATGCGACATCATTAATTCAGTCCACACTCATTTTAAGAGCATAGTATTAAAGAAGATAAAATAGGAACTACAAATACAAAATTGTTACTCCCTCCATAATCAGGTAGATGTATGCAAGTGACTGCTATACTCTGCCTTCCTTAAAAAAATTGGCTATATTTATTGATCATATAATTTTCTATAACTGTTAGCTTTTTGGTTTTTTAAATGCATAGACTGTTTAAAATCCATTTTCCAAAAGAATTTAGATTCCATACATCTGTTACTAGGACAAACATGAGAATGACAAAAAATAAATACCTGAGTGGAAAAGCATGTTGATAGAGTACTCAGAAGTTAAAAATGAGACTTCTCATTTTGATGAGAAAAAAATGAAAATTCTCTGGAATACTGAGGCCCTACACATGCACACAGATTTTAAAATGCAGACCTCTCTTGAACTAGTGCTTGCATTATGTGTTTTGCTTACACATTGTCATATGGAGTTAGAAACACGAAAAGAAAACCTCTAAAGATGTTAATCAATATGTATTTACACATTATCTGGTAACAGATGAGAGTCTAAAATTTTAATACACCTGATAATCTGCTAGTCATAGCAGTAAATGTTTCTGATTAAATTCTCTAATTAGACTCCTTATGTTATTTTTTAATGTACCATATTGTAAAGAATAAGATGAAATGCAATAGTGTATCTATAAAATGACCACTCTGATAAAAACATGATAAAATAAGTATTCATCAAATCTAAAGACCAATATGAAAAAATGACCTTTTTATTTCTACTGAAGCAATTAAAGTAATTTCAGCAATCCATTGCTTCCACATTGCTCCCACAAATGCTAAAGACTTTGTTCTGTAGGCTTTCTTCTTTTTTAAGATACAACTGAATTGTTTGACTCAAGTGCAAACTCCTTTCTTCAAGGTTAACACTGATGCTGTTGAAGCAGTTGCCCTGAATCGTTCTTCATTCTGTCACCAAAACAAGCATGGGCACTGTCATTGGTTTGACAGACTCTGGAAATAGTGTGCCTGTAACTCTGTTAGTGTCTTCAGTACACAAACACAGCTAAAGGTTTCTTTCTCTCACAAGGTGAACACATAGCCCTCAGGTTACTAAAAGTTGTGCTGATGTATCTGTGGCAGCAACACTTATTTGAAGCAAGTCACATCAGTGGTAGTGCTGAACATTTTAATGACCCATATTTACCATTTCCTACTTCATACTTTTGCAGATGAAGAGTTCTTTACACAATGTCATGCTTATGACAATGAATACAAGTCTGACAATACACAATAAGCACATCAATACAAGGCAATTAATATTTTTCCATTAAAAAAGCCAAAAGATGAGCAAAACAAGCATAAAATGGGAAAAATTCAAATATTCCGCTATTTCCTCTACCAAAAGTTTTGCAGTAACTTATGCAACTTAAAGACTCATGAACTATTTCTTCTCTGTGACATCTGAAAATAGATTTTGAGACAATCTCTCACTTTATGGGATATTCTTCTGCTCTGCAGGGGCAGACACCTTTTGCATACTTTTCACGTCCCTTGCTGTGGAGCTAAAAAGGATTTGAGCAAAGGACAGACAAACAAATGCTCCTGTTTTAAATGTCTGCCTTACTGCAATCTCATTAGAAATCTAAACACTTTGCTATCAGAACAGAAACCTGCTGTGGCAGTCTTAAGCAGTCACAGTCTGACTGTAGTCAGTGGAGGCCAACATGTCTGAACACCTACAAGGGACTGACCCCGTCTGCCTCAGTTAAATGCATCACTTGGGGCATCTCCAGAAAAAAGCATTTCTAGTATATTTGCATTAATTTCCCAGTTTTCTTATTCAGTATAAAAAAAATGCAAGACATTTTAGCCACATAAGATTCAGTTTATCTAGCCCTTGTATAAAACAGAAATTTATCCAAGTGCTGCCTGCAAAATGGTTTTGAGTCCAAACCAGCAGCAACACCAAACCTGCTCAGTTGCGCTGCACAAGCGCTGAGCACACACTGACACTGGAGGCCTCCATCCTACAAGGCCTGTCACCTCCAGGCAAAGCTGAGAGATACCCTGAATAACCACATCATGGAGCAACCTGGCAAAGTGAAAGAACTGGCATCGAGTGTGAGAGGGGAAGCAGCACATCAGTTGACTTTACCATTTAAATAAGAGCAGAGACTTCCTCTTATTAAGGGCAGTTTGACTAGATTCACCATTGAAAACAAAACCAAACCCTGACCAAATGGCCAACCCCAACAGTCTGACTTCATATTAAATGGGGGAAGAAGAAGAAGAAAAAGTCATCAAATTCTCTGTCAAAAAAAGTATGTTAAAAATCTTACCGAAACATTTTTTAGACATTCTTCACAGGACCTCTGGGAAAACTCTGAACATACTAGAAAAAAAAAAAACAAAAAAAAAAAAACAAAAACAAACAGAGGTGATATATTTATTTTTTCCTCAGTAACGTCAAGCACTCAAAAGAAGATTTAGCTTTTTCTTTTTTCTGCTTCTAGATAAAAGCAACAATTTTGACTGAAGCAATGCAAGCCACCTATTTCCTTTCCAGAAGAACTGTAGCAAACAGAGATACAAAGCAATTAGGTTTTACCTCTGTCATAGTTATGGAAACAACATAAGCTTACTTGTAACTTCAGTTTGCTTTCTCAAGGACAACATGGGAGGGGGAAAAAACAAACAAATAAACCAACCAAAACAAGAGCCTTCCAGCATGTCTGATGAAGTCCTAACACTTTTACACTTCAACTTAGAGAACATTCCACGTATGGCAGCTTTGGAAGCCCAGGAGAGGCTGACCCTTGCCTAGGGTTGGTTCCACTCCCATAGATATTAACCCCATTCTTGGAGAAAAAAGAATTTGGACTAAAAAAAAAAATCTTCTACCCTAAAAAAAAATATTTACTGGTGTTCACATTCCCAGAGGATTCCAGACAAAGGCTATGACTTCATTTAGAAGTGCCACATGCTCGTTATCTTAAGCCTGGTCTTTTTTATCCACAACACAAGACACTTTGCACCTGCAGGACCACATACGTGCCACAGTCTCCACCAAGATTAACTGCTTGACAGATGAGGAGGAGTTTCCTCTCCTGATCCAAATGACCCTGGATTTTCTTCCCATTATAGTTGCTATGATAATTTTTATTATCTAATGAAATTAATTTTTGATGTCCTTAACAACATGATTTTACTTACTTAGCCCTGAACTGGTGAGCCAGTTGGACTAGATGATCACTGTAGGTCCCTTCCAGCTGAAATAGTTTTTCGTATTCTAAATTAGTTCCACATGTATCATACAAATATGAGGGGAAAATATCTGCTTATCAGGAAACTATTCTACTTTTAATGAATAACAGTGCATTAGTTATAAGCAGTTATCTATTTGAGCTAAATTCTTGGCATGTTTTCAGATAACTACATATTTCAACACTTTATTTTCATAATTCAGTATTATATGTTTCTGGTACTGACTCTTAACACTAAATGCATTTTATGTACCAGTATATTTAGTTTTAATACATCTGTTTAAAAAAATAAATCACTTACTAGTTTATCCAATACCAGTTAGCATTGGTACAGGTACCAACTATCAGAGAAACAGCCTGGTAAGGCCCATATATCAATTAATGGGGAAAAAAAAAAAAAAAAAAAAAAAAAAAACACACCATGACAAGCAGATTCAGAAACAGTTTAAACTAAAAAATTTTCAAATGGGATTATTCCACTTTGAGTACCATCACACTTATTATAAAAATACTTTGTTACATTTTCAATTTAAGATACAAACCACCTAGACAAACCAGTTTTCTGAGCATCAATCAGCAAGGTACAGTCAGAAGCATGCAAGTATACCAAGGACTTCTAAAAATGTGGTTTAGGTTAAATTTTCAGTAACTCAATCATTAACAGCAAAGTGAAGAAATGTAACACTCCTTAGAATGTTATCAAAGGAAGTAATCTCACAAGCTTTTCATGCTGTCTGTCTTTATCTGCCTTCCTACTAACATGGCAGATATCCTAAATTAGCACATAACCAAAAGACTGGGGCTTACATTGTAACAGAACTTAGACTTCTATTATTTATGGTTATTCTAAAGAGCAGCATGGAAAAGTCTTAATGAAAAATACTTCAACACATATCACCACAACATACAACTCAAAAATCAAAATATCTTTATGTGCTGCTTCTACAAAATGCAACATTACCATGAGTGACTGAAAAAAAAGTTTTTTTCCATTCTGTTTTATGTATTTCTCTGGGTCACAAACCTTACAAAGATACATAAACTTCCCACCAGTTACAGCGTTCTGTGTAAGAGCAGAAGATACAACAAAACATCTCTTAAACTGAAAAAAAAAAGAAAATCCCAACAAACTACCCCTCCAATCCATCTGGCTATACCATTATGTGTACTAGCATATTAAAAAAAAAACAAATTTCATCAGTTGACTTTCTCCCTCTCATGTTAGGGGACTACTGTACCATCTTTACTGGAGAAAACAAAGTAAGCCATAGCACTACTACCAATAATAATTCTCATTGTGTTTACAACCACATTTATCACCCATAATCTTTCTTTCCATACTGGGATATAACATCAACATTAATCATCTAACATGTAATAAAATGAGAAATCACTTTTGCACACCAAGTCTGGTTTACCAAGCAGTGGAGGCGTTACTTTGGTAAGTGGTGTTAATTTTTTAACAAAATAGTTTAGTGTAACGCCTTGTACAGAGTTAATTGTAGCTGTATCAAGATTATATTCTCACAAAATAAGAAAAAGCTATCACTGTTCATGCACAATATTCTAAGATTAGAATTCTGCCCACATATACAGGAATTGTACTATAGTTGATTATATACAAATTATCTTTATGACCTCACTTTCATACATATTGATGGACCAGGGTAATGCACAAATACAGAACAAAGGCTCTTCCTCCATAAAATATGGGTACAACAGAAGAACATTGACAATAAAATTCTATTTTATTTAAAAACAGGTTCCCCTGCCCATTTCCAACATGTATTAGTGCACGAAGGTCACAGACACTAGATGATAGGAAGACAGGGCTCCTTGCCCCCATATGCTAAGGACTGAAAACTGCCCTACAACCTTAAAATTAGTGATTCCTTTTGGAGAAGTGGGAATGGAGGTGGACACACACCCCATTTGCTACTCCACGGAAAAAAAACACCAAGGCGATTGCTCAGACAGTCAGAAACCTTTCAACACCTAAGCTTGGCTTACTCATAGTTAGTTTATTTTAATGTGTTCTCTTCCCCCATTCTCAAGACAACACTGTTCTTCAACTTGAAGAGTTGTTCCCTCCTACTGGCATGAGTACTTTCTCCAAGTACTCTTATTCCTCCTCAGTCTTCCTTCTGCTCCAGCAATTAAGACGGTACTTTTCTAGGCATTGTTCTCAAACAAGGAACCACACAACCTTCGTAGCCCTGCTTTGTGCCAGTCCAACTCAGCTGGGTGCGGGTGCTGAACTTGCAGAATATTTAGACAGGATGGCGTACAAGGTCCCGGTCTTGCAAAACTACCATAAAACTGCCATCATCTCTTCACCAGAGCATCACTTCCCTAACTGATATGCATCTGATATCCAATAAATCAAATCTAACAACCAACAAATCAAATCTGACAACCAACCAAACTTTAGGGCGGCTTCACCAG